ACCTGAGCTGAAATCAAGAGTCTGACACTCAACAGGCTGAGACATTCAGACACCCTGAAAACATTTTCTTCTCCTCTTAGTGCATGTGTGACATTATCAGTCTCAAAATCCAAGCCAATTATGGGGTCCATCCTGCCTCTGTGCAGGGAGTACAACACACTCAATTTGATTTCTATTAATAATAACATAGGTTCAATTATGACCCATCGGTTGATATCGCTGATTACTAAATGTAAATCATCACTTTTCCAAGCAGTTGGACTGCTTTCCTTTTTTAAAATTTAAAATGATTTTATTTATTTTGTCTTATTTGTTCTTTTCAGAAGGAGAAAAAGTCTGAGAAATCATTTGGATATTTCTTCTTTTGTACAAGGAAGAGAATAGTAATAACAAAAATAATAGCAAATAGACATTAATGAGGAGAGAAAATGAGGATTTAAGTGACCCATACACACACTCATAGATATGCAGAGAAATCAATACATAAGATGAACTTAGATAATTGCAAAGAATTATTAGTGGTTTTAAAAAAAAGAGAGATTGACAATAATGCGTATTTCATAGAGCCTTTGGGCAAAGAAGGGCACAATAAGAAGACGCAGCAAAAACATTTTACAGTTGGAATTAAAAAGTCTGGGCATATTACCTGAAGCTAAGCTGGAAATACTTAGCTTTTTTTTTTTTTTTTAATTTTTCCTTCTTTTCTTATTTTTTTCTTCCTTCTTTATTTTCACATGTGTGGCCTTTATTCTATGAGTGGCCTGAGTCCACTTACTGGAAAATGCAACAAAATGGTAAGGTTTGCGGTCTTGCTACAATTTCCCTCAAGACTGTGTCTATACTAAGGGATAAGAAATTTCAAAATTTAGAACTGAACTTTAAAACAGCATTTTATTGTCACTTACCATAACACCCTTAGAAAGATGGATGTAATTTCAGTTCAAATCCCAAGACCAATATTCGGAAGCAGAGATGTGAAAATAACCAATCTGATTTCACCCATTCTCTCCTCTTTGAAATTCAAGTATTAGTTCAAGTGTTCTTAGATGCATGTTTCTAGTCCTCATCTTCTATTCAGCCCCAGCCAACATCTTTAACATTTTGTACTGCCTTATGTCCCTTGGAGGAATCGTAGATGTAACTGTATAAATAGACGAACAGTAATTATATAAGTAAAGAACATCGGGGCACCTGGGTGGCGCAGTCGGGTAAGCGTCCGACTTCAGCCAGGTCACGATCTCGCGGTCCGGGAGTTCGAACCCCGCGTCAGGCTCTGGGCTGATGGCTCAGAGCCTGGAGCCTGTTTCCGATTCTGTGTCTCCCTCTCTCTCTGCCCCTCCCCCGTTCATGCTCTGTCTCTCTCTGTCCCAAAAATAAATAAACGTTGAAAAAAAAAATTTTTTTTAAATAAATTAAAAAAAAAAAAAAAAAAAGAACATCATAACTTGGTCCATTACTTTTCTTGGTGCCAGTACTTCACATCAGTTAATTTTTTTTTTTAAATTTTTTTTTCAACATTTTTTTTTAAATTTATTTTTGGGACAGAGAGAGACAGAGCATGAACGGGGGAGGGGCAGAGAGAGAGGGAGACACAGAATCGGAAACAGGCTCCAGGCTCTGAGCCATCAGCCCAGAGCCTGACGCGGGGCTCGAACTCACGGACCGCGAGATCGTGACCTGGCTGAAGTCGGACGCTTAACCGACTGCGCCACCCGGGCGCCCCAACATCAGTTAATTTTTAATTGCAAAAGGAGACAGTCTCTTTTTCCTTCTCTTTCTACTCTTCTAAATCTGTTTCCATTAGTTCTAAGGAATAAAGTACTCGTGCCTATGGACATATGACTCAAAGCTTAGGTGAAACCCCATGTCCGAAAGCTTTGTTTAGTGTTTGATTAAAGATTGTAGTTCCTAGGTGTTGAATCAATATATCATACACCTGAAACCAATATTACACTCTATGTTAACTGTAATTTAAATAAAAACTTTAAAAAAGGCTGTGGTTCCTGAAATGTAAATGTGATTGATTGGTTTAGAAAACTAAGAGGTTGAAGAGAGGTTGGGGTAGGAGATAAATGGGAGAAACCAGTGACTTTATATTAAAGTTAATTTTGTCTTGTTACACAGTGGCTTTGCTCTTCAACCAGGTGAACTTGACTGATTCCCCTCTACTGTAGAGATCAGATAGTTCTTCATTAGGCAAGTTCAAGAAGAGTGGTTTGTTGTAACCTTATGTCAGGCATTGTCTATATATGTTTGAATCTTCGTATGTTATAAAGATGAGATATTGATATATGGATATATGGATATATATTCTAAAAATATTGTTCCATTATTTTCAAATATTTTATGAAGTAAAGTTGTGAAGTCATCCAGTGGTTTCCACAAGAGAAGATAGTTTTTATTATTGAAAAGTTACTTTTCAAGTTTTGCTTTCTTTTTTAGACCAAATGTAAGATATAGGGAGAGAAGAGGATTGTATTTTCAAACTGTCACTTAGATACTAGTTTGGGAATTGCTGATTTTGTAAAAGAAAAAGAAAAAGTTTGGTTAAATAGTCACATGCTCTGCTTTAGAACATGTTGGAGCCTTAACCTGGGGATTTGAAAAATAATTTTACTAAGGGAAACAAAAGCAAAAATGAACTATTGGGACTTCATCAAGATAAAAATCTGCACAGCAAAGGCAATAATCAACTAAACTAAAAGGCAACCTAAGGAATTGGAGAATATATTTGCAAATGACATATCAGATAAAGACTTAGTATCTATAAATCAAAACTGTGATGAGATACCACCTCACACCTGGCAGAATGGCTAAAATTAACCACTTCAGAAAATAACATATATTGGCAAGGGTGTGGAGAAAGGGGAACCATCTTACACTGTTGGTGAGAATGCAAACTGGTGTAGCTACTCTAGAAAACAGTATGGATGTTCCTTAAAAAGTTAAAAATAGCACTACTCTCTGATCCATCGATTGCGTTACTAGGTATTTATGCAAAAGACACAAAAATACTGATTCAAAGGGGCACATGCATCCTGATGTTTATAGCAGCACTATAAACAACAGCCAAATTATGGAAAGAGCCAGAATGTCCATTGACTGATGAATGGATAAAGAAGATATGATGTATATTTAATGGAATATTACTCAGCCATCAAAAAGAATGAAATCTTGCCACTTGCATTGATATGGGTGGAGCTAGAGAGTGTTATGCCTAGTGAAATAAGTCAGTGAGAGAAAGACATATACCATATGATTTCACTCATATGTGGAAATTAAGAAACAAAACAAATGAACCTAGGGGACGAGAACAAAAAATGAGAGGCAAGCAAACCATCGGAGTCTCTTAACTATAGAGAATGAACTTAAGGGTTGATGGAGTGGAGGTGGGTGGGGGATGGGCTAAATGGATGATGGGCATTAAGGAGGGCATTTGTTGTGATAAGCACTGGGTGTTGTATGTAAGTGATGAATCACTAAGTTCTACTCCTGAAACCAGTTATTACCCTATATGTTAACTCACTAGAATTTAAATAAAAATTTGAAACAAACAATAAAAATTAAAATAAAATTCTATTACTAGTTAAAAAAGTAAGAAAAAATAATTTTACCAGTCTTACCTTGGGACCCTCATTAATTTTCCTTCTCACTACACAATGAGAATTGTTATACCTATACTCTCTCTCCCTCTTTCTAAGAGAAAGAGAAGGGAAGAGAGGGAGGGAGAGAGAGAACCTTAAGCAGGCTCCATGCTCAGTGCTGAGCCTGATGCAGGGCTTGATGTCATGAGCTATGAGAGCTACAGTAAATGTTTGGAGCAGTGGGTAAGATATTTTGGGGTTATTAAAATATTCAAACTCTCATGATGTAGTTTCTAAGAATTGAACTGAAGAATATAGTGAAGGAAAGAAAACTAACAGGGAATATAAACATCATAATGTTTCTCATATTAAAAATTTTTTTTCACTCAAATCACTTGAAATTTAGAATATTGTCATGACATGAAGAAATGAAGCCTCTAAAATTTCACATATGCTACTTAAAATCTACACAAATATCACCTTTTTAGGATAAAGACAGGAAGAGATAAAAAATAAAGAGAATGGCTTGTGAATATGATAGGATCTTAATAAAATCTTTTAACTTTATCTATATAGTAGTGTTGGTACAACAGTATAGTAGTGTTTGCAAAAGTAAGTTCTTGTATTACTATAATTATGTAAATGAAAAACATCGTGTCACTTATTTCATTTTGGTGACTGGGAAAGTTATATTAGTGAGGGGTTGTTCCCTGAAGTGACAGGTTTAGGATATTTCTGACCAGCAGGATTGGTTTTCCTTAAGCTCAAAAATTCATGCATGTCCAAATGCAGATGTAGTTAAGCATGTGATTAAGAGTGAGCAAGTGAAAGCATTTCCTTTAAGAAATTGCTCTTTCAGAGGCAGTTGGTTTTTGTAAACTTAATCTGGGATGGCAGAACCCTGAGGAGTAACTGATGAGGTAAAGAAAGCTCCAGAACCCTTAGCAATATTCCACCCCCAACTGCCATCTAGAGTAAAGGATGATTGGAAATGGGGGCCCCCATGATGTCTTAGAGGATTGGAAGAGAACTGTGGTCATCCACATATCTGAGCACCATGAACAGACTAGCTACAGGATCAGTGCACCCTGCCGTAAAAAGCCAGCTGCAGTGAAACACTTTTGAATGGAGAAGCATCTGGAGGTTGAAGATATCAGAGAAGCTTCCCGCTGGTCTGGAAGTCAGTACTGGGGCATCCTTTCTTGGGCAGAGATGGGGGTGGATTGAGATATGCTTTCAATGAGGAGGAAGAGAGTATGGACGGAAGACTAAATCACTTAAGTGGAGAAAGGCCAGAGTTATTGTTTTCCTTTCAGAGGAGATCAGTTATGCCTGAGGAAACAGAACCTACAAATAACCAAAGCACTCCTTGGTAGGGGCCTTACGCCCACCACCATTTGTGCGAGGTAACTTTGCCGTGCATTCACTATCTACCTGAGTGATGGCTGCTGTCTTCTATGTTGGTTTATTTTCTGTCTCACCTTTGCTCATCTGTGATGATCTGGGAAGTGGACAGTAGCATGAGAAATCACCTAATCTTAAGAAAGAGGAAAATGCAACCCAGAAAATTATTGCCTAAAGTGAGATTAGAATTTCTTGACTTTTAAAAGACTGGGCTGGAGCAAACCTAGATATCAAGAAAAATTCTCTTCAGTAAGAGCCAATATGATAAAACCTGAAATTATGTATCATGGGGAATAAGTTGTAGGTAGGTTGGTGGTTGGTAGACATAAGGTATACATTTTATTCTAGTTTTGGATCATATCAAGATCATGAGGCTATTTTCTCAGGGGGGGGAAACATGTCCTACCTAACAAGTCTATTAGATGGGGAATGTGATGGAGTAAGGGGAATGGCAAAAGAAAGACATTGATTTGGAGGGGGAGGGGCACTTGCTTGCTGGGCGCAGAGAGGACTGAGTAGTTAACTGTCAGTGGCAAAAATAACTGCCATCCTGGGAGGTGAAAGTGTGGGGAGGGGGACAGAATGGAGCACACATCAGAGCTCTGTGGGCAAAAGCTGCTCTCATGAGGAAGCCACACTGTTTCTGACCCAATCTAAAGAGTGGCCTGGTGAACAAGGCGCTCTGTGCTTTTGGTCCCTACCAGTGATGGCTGGGAATAAAGAAGGTTAGAACAAAAGAAAACATCTCGCTTCCCTGCCAATTCCAGGCTTTCACCAAAGCTGAGGTCTGCATTTGCAAGTCTCTAGCACTGTGCCTGAGAATTTCTAACTATTCAATACCTGTGTGTGTGTGTGAAAACGTAAAATTTTGTTCTCCATTTTTTTCTTCTCAGTTAACCTGGCTATAAGATGATTCCTGTGCTATAGCTGCTGGAGGTAGCCTGATCAAAAAACACCGCAATTGTGGAGATGATTGATTCTTCTTTTTATCACCTGTAATACCCCTATCTTTCCTCCATGTAACCATTAAAGGGAGCAGTTGTGTACAAAATGTATTATACACAGGTCCCACGCAGAGGAGTTAGAGGGAGGATTTAATACACAAGAAAAGAGGTTCCTGGTGTCCTGAGGGGCAGTTCCCTCCCTGCTGGCTACTTGAGTGGGCTAATCTTCAGCCCCCAAATGAGGCCTATATGGAAAAGGATGACATCGAGCAAAGGGCATAGGTGGAAACTCCCTCCCTACAACACATCTGCTACTCTCAGCTCAAAGGTTTAAAGAGAGCAAGAAGATTTACTTCAGATGGTCCGTGTCCCTGTCACCATCCCCATCTCCATTTCTGACAGGAGTGTACAGGGAGGTGAAAAGAAGGTGGCTGTCATTGGGAAACAAGGTAAGGGCTTGAGGATTAAGAGGACAGCTTTGAACTGGGCTCAGCAAGCTCACTGCTTCCAATAGAGGTCCTGCCATGTCTTCAGTGGCCAAGTAAAACTCTCAGCTTGCTGTTCTCTGGTTTCCTAGGATACTGGAGTTTTCTCGTGAATTACTGAGGATAATGCAATTTAACCTAAGGAAGAAACATTTGTAGGAACTTATCAAGGTTATCGTGAAACTGGGTTTTACTATTTCCTGTTCTTTACTAGGACCATGTGTGCAAAAGGGACTTGTTGTTAAGCAGAAGATATTAAGAAAAGTGGTGGAGAGAGAAAGATACTAGAATGCTTGACAAAGAGAATCAGAAGGCCTGTAGATTACATGGGGGCAGGGGATAAGAAAATATGGCTATGATTTCAAGTGGGACTCTGGATAGATAAATTCTTCAGATAAAAATCTGGGTATCAGAAAGCATGCTGGGGTAAACACAGGGTGAAATGTCACTCAAGAATTAAATGTAGAGCATCCCCTTGCTTCCCAAACCATCTTTCAACATGGCCACTTCTGATACATACAATGGCTATGGGGCTTGGGGAAAGTCACTCTAGTTGCTGGTTAGGTTAAATTCTGAAAAATATTCCACCAAAAACAAAAAAGTAGCATGAAGATCAAACATAAAGAGTAAAATAAAATAGAAGAACTTGTTACATAGTGTATACAATCTCACCACTTTTGTAGTCATTATACTTTAGAAGCTGAGGATGTCTGAAATTTAACCTAAGAATTTCTTTTAAGTGTGTATCAGCTGAGGATTTTCCCCATTTGTTCTTCTGGGTCCTGTCTTGAGAGAACCATTTCTACTCTCACTGTTCCAGGGGCACCTGGACAGAAGTAAATAATAAGGGAACAGATAGTAATTTAACAAGGAATTAGAACAGTGATGTTCAGGTACAGATGCCTAGGAATCACTCTGTCTCTAACGGAACAGCAAAAATGACAGAAACCACTAAGATAACTAATGATCAAACAGGAGAAAGAAGGTTCAGAGGACAAAGAAAAGAGAAAGGAAGGGGTGGGAGTTCTAGGAAAGAGGAGCATAGCCCCCTCCAGAGGAGAGGTAGGGTTCTAAGGACAGAGCTGAGCTGCCACAGGCTGAAACAGAGGGTGACTGTCAGGCCTTCACGACCTCCTGACGGAAGGGTACTGGGTCTGGTGTGCTGAGCTGAGTCAGGTTGGCCTCTGCTAACACCTTGATAGGAGAAAAGAAAGACAGCAAGCACTGTGTCCAAATGGCATTCCTATAGATGAGAAAATCAAAGTAAAGGACATGTTTTCTTTCTCCTCAGATAATACATACATAGGAAATTAAATGGTAGTGAATGAATAATGCTAAAGGCTAGAAAAAGTTGTAGAGAAGCAAAGAGAGGCCGAGAGCTGAGCCACCGCAGAGGAGATGCCCATCATTGCTGGATAATTTGTAAGTCCCTCCTAAGTGGGAAATCTAAGCCTATCTAGAAATCTGATTTCAGCCCAGGTGGTGGCTCCTGCCCCTGATTAGAATGCTTATCCCAGCTCAGAGATGTTCCTGGAAAAGTAATGAGGCACTGGCTTCCATACAGATTTTTATATCCAGGAAGAAAATAAAATTAATGGCGTACAGAAACTTATAACGACTCAAGGCAATTATTTCTGAGAATACTTAGTCTCAATATTTCTTAAGATCTCAGAATTAAGTCAGGTATCCTGGAAATTTCAACTGTCATTGAGTGGGGAGTTATCTTGTTTTAAAAGCTGCTACCCATGTGGAACTCAAGTGTATATGGAAATACATGTAATTGATTGCTTAATCTTATCATTTTTGTCCCAGCTCTCACAGTTCAAGTGTTGTGAGAGACAGTTATTGATTGTAGAAGCCAAAGGACTGGACAGTGTCTTCTCTTTCTAGGAGTACTTGACTCTGCAGCGATCTTGAACCCCTTGAAAGAAAAGGACTTCTCAATTTTCTTGTGCCTCTTGCCAAGAATCTCTGAGGATTTCTGAGATTGATCACTTAGATGTTTGCCTGCTTTATGCGTGTTTTCCATGTTTACATCCTTAAAGTAATTGAGGCTTAGGGACCAGAATGTGCCTGGGCCTCAAGAGCGTGGAAAAGGCAGCCTTGAGTTACAGACTGGCAGAGACTGGCAAAGAACCGAAGGCTCCCCTACCTTGTGGTGTCCCACTGCATTTGCCCCCAAAGATGAGATTGCCTTTGCTATCAAAAGAAGCAGAAGGGGCTTAGATTTGATATTTCCAAGTCGTGTCTTCCGTTGTCTGGAACCAGGAAGAAAGATGTGTAGTCCCTTCCTTGGGAACAAGGCCATAACGTCCCTAGATGGGAAGAGGGCGACCAAGATGCCTCGGGGTGGGAAGGTCACGGAGCATCCCCCAGCATAATTAGGCTCAGGGCTTGAGGTTGTAAACAGGACGTCTTTGAAACAGGTAACTGAGACAGTTGGAAAAGGGGGAAATTTACCTATCTCTAACAATAGAAATTGTCTGTTACTGGCTTCTGCAGGAACCAAAACTCTTACATGTTACGGATACCTGAGTACTGGTCACAGTAAGAAAGGATCAGATTTGTTAGAGTTCTGCTATTAACCAACCTGCTCTAAAACTGGTTTTCTTAGTAAAATGTTTTATCTTTGCAGATTTTGGAAACAGGGCCGAGAATGGGAATCTGATTTTCTGGCAAAAAACCCTAATCTATAATAAGAGGCTATGTTATCTTAGCCCAACAGAGGTCTATATCCTGAAATCATAAAGGTTCAGAAGACCAGAATACAAGCCCAGTGTTCAGGTCAAGAGAACAAGATCCTTGGAATCAGACACACTGGAATAAAAATTGAAATTCTTTCACTTATTATTAGATCTTATATGATTTTCTTGCTTTCCTATACCTCACTGTTCTCATTTGCAAAACAGGGATAATGATAGATAAAAGTACTTGTAACTGTAAAATGTATCACATATGTACCTAAAATACTTCACTCAGTGTACTGCATACAGTACATTTTCTTTTTTTTATTAATTTTTTTTTATTTTTGAGAGACAGAGCACAAGTGTGGGAGGGGCAGAAAGAGAGTGAGACACAGAACCCAAAGCAGGCTCCAAGCTCCAAGCTCCAAGCTGTCAGCACAGCCCCCGCAGGGTTTGAACCTACAAATCGTGAGAAGACCTGAGCTGAAGTCAGACACTTAACTGACTGAGCCACCCAGGCGCCCCCATACAGTACATTTTCTAAACTGTAGCTATTTTATTAGTAGTCCTAAAATGCTCTTCAGAGTATTATTTCCAGAAATGGTTGTATATGTCATAATTCTTTGATAACGTAAGATGAGATTTTAGGTGGCAAATGGGAATGGTGAGAGATATGGGAACAATCTCTCAGGTGAAACCTGACTGAAGAATCTGGTAATGGTGGGACTTGGGGAAATAGATTCAAGTCTGAAGGCTCTTTGTATGATTGCAGAATCCTATTTTGGAGGATACGTACAGGAACAGAGGAACTTACAAGTAGTCAAATTTTAGTATCCTGTAAAGGAATTCAACAGAATTTGTGATGTGGATGAGCATAATCATTAACATTTTAATTTAGATATGCACTTTACAAATTATAAATAAAATCAGCATGCTCGTAGTTTATGCACATACTTCTAATTCACTGATAGGTAATATTAAGGGAATTCACTATTATTCATATGAATGACTTTAATGCCTGTATAATATACATACTGTTTAGTGCCTTCTATATACAGTCACCCTCCTAGAACAACACAATCATGGTCCCTGTTCTCAAAGAGCTTACATTCTGTTGTAGAAGACTGACTATACAATTAGTTAAGAAGTAGTCTTTGTTATTAAGGAAATAAAAATCTATTTGGTCATCAGTGGCCCCTTTTCTTACTCAAGTGTATGCTGACTTCCCATCCTCCCTTTGTCCTATTATTTCCTTCATAATCTACTCTGACAAACGATTGATACATTACTCTCTTTTTTGGTAACTTTTAAATATCCCAAGCAAAAAGTTGATCTTGTGTGTGTGTATATATATGCATATATGTTAAACATTGCATATATGCATATATGAATTAGAAAACAAGTATATATGTATATATAGTTATACATACATTAAACATATATATGAAACTATATACAACTCACTTGCTGTGTGGGTGTGCGTATCTAGGTTGGTTGAAGACATAAGAGATTTTCCTTAGATTTAACTTCCCATTCTAAGAGCTTAACTGTTTTATTCACAATAATAGTTTTTTATTGTTGAATGAAAGCTTTGCGATTCATTATAAATGATCAAATAAAATACAATAATATTCTGATATGATAGTATGTAAGTTTTACCCATCTCTACACTTTTAAAAGGTTTTGTGAAGCCAGCTAAAAAAATAAAGCCAGCTAAAAAAAATGGTTAGAAAAAATATTTTAAAGCAAGAGAGAATATCTCATATGAACTCAGTAGAGAGCAGAATGCTGTGTCCGCTGCCCAAGGACTTCTTCAAATTTGTTATCTACCTATAAGGTCACACAAAACCAGTTTTAAAAAATCTTGATCTGATATATGCCTATAAAGAAGAAAGGATGACAGTCCTCAGCAGTCACAGTAATAACTTAATTTACTTAAGAGAGAGAGATAAATGACAGGTGCAAAAAATTTCTGTCAAGCTGGGGAGACCTTGAGATAAAAGTGAAACTTTTTTTTTTTTTTTTTTTTGGAATCAAAGGTCAGATCCTTAGTACTTTTAAGAAGCCCTCCTTGATGGTTTTTTTTTCATTTCTAGGTGTCAAAATGAAATTGGGTGACTCTGGAATTTCCTCTCAGTTTTAATGAAATCAGAATCTCAAATAGAGTAGGCAAAAAGACCAAGAAGTTTGAAAACTGCTAAGCATTAGGTTCAAATTATGGATAATTTTAAAATAAGTTAAATACCTTTGTCTTTACTTTGACGACCTATTGTCGATATTGGGAAATTTCTACAGTCCTTGAACGTATACTAGATTTGGTTAAACTATGTGAAATTATTACAGCATGTTTATTCACTCTAAGCTTGTCATTGGCTATTATGTGTCATTGTGTACCATTCTGGGTCTTAATATTTTAGTGGAATGGAGTAATCATTCAAATCTCAAAAATAATTATGCACTGTGATCAATGTCATGAAGGTTAAACACAGAACACTGTGGACAACAGAATGGGAATAAATGTGTTACTGATTTCAGGAAAATTCTTTTTAAGAAAATGAACCTCAACAAAAATGGATAATATAGCTGGAGCACAAGCAAGAGATTGTTAGGGACCATCTTGGCTCACACTTGTAGGCCATGAAAAGGATTTTATTTTTTATATAATAAATCAGGCAGAGTTTTAAGCAGTGCTTTGACTTTTTGACCATGTTTTAATAAAATCTTTATGCATAAAAAAACTAAGACAAACAGGGTAAAAGTCTCATTTGAAGCTCAAGAATTTTACAAAGGAAAACGACACATTAAGCAAAATGAATAATCTGTAAATTACCTCTAATTAAAAACAAAACAAAACAAAAAACTTTGGCTTCTGAACATGTCCATTTCTGCCTATTGAATTTAAACCTCTATAGTGAATAGTAAGAGGTAAAACTAGAGATGCACAATCATCCCAGAAAATAAACGTTGCAGGGAGTAGGAGAGCATAGCGGGAGATCTCCAAGAGTTACAGTCCTGAAATATTAATTATCCAGATAAAATAGACATTCCTTTTTTTCAGTTATTGGTATTTAATTACAGTATTATTTGGAAGAAAAAAAAGACTTTGGAAACCTATGTTTCTCAACAGAACTAGTAGGCGACTCTCAGTCCTACAACCCCCTCTCAAGTGGGCCGTCCAGTGTAGCTTTCAGGCTTCAAGCACTCAAGGGACATTTAAAGATAGTTGGTCATTGGGGCGCCAGGATGGCTCAGTTGGTTGAGCATCCAACTTCAGCTCAGATCATGATCTTGCAGTTTGTAAGTTGGAGCCCCGTGCGGGGGCTCTGTGCTTACAGTTCAGAGCCTTGACCTGCTTTGGATTCTCTGTCTCCCTCTCTGTCTGTCCCTACCACTGCTCGCTCACTCTCTCTATCTCTCAAAAATAAACATTAAAACATTCTTTAAAATAGTCACATACTTGACCATTAAGTAAACCTCAACAAAACCAAAGGATGGTATCATCAAAACACAACAAAATTTGGGAGCGACAACTAAAATCATATGCAATATGTATTATAGAAGCATTTTTAACATTAAGTACTTCTAAATGATTCCTAAGTCAAAATATAATGGGGAATTTAAATATTTTGAATTGACTCACAATAAAAACACTGTCAATTGTGGGATATAGCTAAAGCAAATAAATAGGGAAACTTTTAACTTTAAATATATAAAAAAAAGTTTAATAATCAGTGAGTTGAGTTTCAACTTAAGGAAAAGAGCAATAGAGCAAATCCAAAAAAATATAATGTAAAATAGACATTCTTGAAAGTCTTAATCTGTGTCCATATGATATTGTCATTCCTATTATTTTCTTTCTTTTGAATTTCCATATCATATATTACAATCATAATGTGTTTAATCCATTTCTAATTAAAGGCCATCACTAAAACAGTGAAAGTGTGTTATTAGGAAATGTGAGAGCAGACAAAATTGAACTATCTTAGGCCTTTAACGAAATCACATTTAACTATACCTGTGCTTTGTCACCATATTTCCCTTCTATTACATGTGTACTCTTAGTAGCCAGAGAAGAATGCCATGTTTGCAGAACTTGGGGAGTTTCTTATCTACCTTCCCCTTTTGCTCTTACTTTCTTTTTCCCATAAATATTCTGCCCTACCACCAGATCCATTGCCGGGTATAAGGATGAATTTCCACAGGTCAGCCACATTTTCTCAAACAGTTCAGTTAAAATTTCAAATACATGCTTGGAAGATTATAAAATTACATTAGGTATGTGGTTATAGTTTTAATAACATAAAGGAATCAGAAAACAATCATTACGGGCCGCTTGGGTGGCTTAGTTGGTTAAGTGTTCGATTCTTGATTTTGACCTAGATCATGATCTCACACTTAGTGAGTTTGAGCCCCACTTGGACCTGTCAGTGTGAAGCCTGCTTGGGATTCTCTCTCTCTCTCTCTCTCTCTCTCTCTCTCTCTCTCTCTGCCATTCCTGCACTCTCCCTATCTCAAAATGAATAAACTTTAAAAAATAAAAAATAAAAGTATTGTCTCACTTCTAAAAAATAATCATCTTTTTTTAAAAAAAATATCTTGAGAGAGAGAGAGAGAGAGAGAGAGAGAGAGAATGAGCGGGGGAGGGGCACAGAGAGAGAAAGAGGATCAGAAGTGGGCTATGTGCTGACAGTACAGAGCCAAATGCCAGATACCAGGCTCAAACTCACGAGCTATGAGATCATGACCTGAGCTGAAGTCAGACCCTTAACCAAGTGAGCCATGCACACCCAATCATCGTTACCTTTCAAGACTATACTTTAATACTTATGATAACAACTTTTTTTTGTTGACCAACTGCCATGAGTCAACTTGTGGCATTATGATTTTAATTAACTTTGTGATGTAATACTGCCATTTTTTCCATAAGCAAATGGAGGTCAGGGACTTTATTTTACTTGTCAAACTAGTTATACAGCCTAGATTTGAAGCTAGGTTTGTCTTCTTTCATTGTACCGTTCATCATACCTTTAACTTTCAATTTGGATTACACAATTCCTTTGGATTCCACTCTATTTCCATCCAGCTTATGTCTTTAACTCCATGCCTTTTCTTATTCTCTTATTCATTTTCATCATTGACTGTTTTCTGTTTCTGGACATAGGCA